TCCTATTCTTTTGTTTTTAATCACTCTAGATACTTGTATTTAAAGTGTGTCTTTTGTAAGCAACAGGAAGATCTTCAATCTGATGGTCTTAGCCTTTTACTTGGAATGCATGATAAATTTACTAAAATGCAATTACTGTATTGTCTTACAGTTACCACCTTGTTTTTATATCTATCTCATTGCATTCCTTTTTTACACTTGTCTTATTTTGGATCATTCAGTTTCTAATGCATTTGTCTACTCTTCTTTTGGTGATAACCTTAGAAATAACAGCATATATCTTTGATTTTTAACAATCTAATTAAATACTGGCAACTTAAATAAATGCTCAGGATTTTGTAAAATTGTTTTCTTTTAGTTAACATATTTTTCTCTGTGTGAAGATGTTTCTAAAACATAGTAAAAATTGATACAATAAAATATTTTATTTTATTATCGTGTAATTGTACTGGGGGTACATTGTGACATTTGCAAAAGTTCTTACAATATATCATAGTTAATTCACCCCTCCATCATTCTCCTTTATTCCTTCCCCATTCTTGGAATAGTTTCAACAGGGTATTATGTACTCATGTATGTAAATAGAAAAAGAAAATATAAAATGCTTACTTTTTAAATAGTTTTTAACATGAAACTGGAAAAATAAAATATTTTATAAAACTTACTTTAATTTTAACACAATGATCTCCAGTTCTATTGATTTTCCTGCAAATGACTTAATTTCATTTTTTATTGTTTAATAAGACTTCATTATGAATATATATCACTTTCTTATTAATTCATCCATTTATTGGTGCCTAGGTTGATTCTATGACTTGAGTATTGTGTATGGGGCCACAATAAACATAACTATGCAGGTATCTCTATTGTATATTGACTTTGATCCCTTTGGGTATATATCCAGCAGTGGTATAGCTGGATCATAGGGTAGTGCTATTTTTAGTTCTTTGACAAACCTCTATATTGGCTGGACTAATTTACATTTTTACCAACAGTGTATAAGGGTTTTTTTTTTCCTCTTGTGTTCTCTCCAGCATTTATTGCTTTTCCTTTCTACTTCCTTCCTTCCTTCCTTCCTTCCTTCCTTCCTTCCTTCCTTCCTTCCTTCCTTCCTTCCTTTCTTCCTCCTTCCCTTCCCCACTCCCTTCCTTCTTTCCTCCCTTCCACACTTCCTTCCTCCCTTTCTCCCTTCTTCCCTTCCTCCCTTCCTTCCTTCATCCTTCCTTCCTTCCTTCCTTCCTTCTTCTCCCTCTCCCTCTCTACTTTCCTCCCTCCCTCCCTCCCTCCCTTTCTTCTTTTTTTGTAATACTGAAGATTGAACTCAGGGCCTTGTATTTTTTAGGCAGTTGCTCTACAATTTGAATCCCCCCCACCCCACCTCAGTCTTTTTTATTTTATTTTGATTTTCAGATAGGGTCTTGCACTAACTTTGCCCAGGCTGTCCTCAAACCATGATCTTCCTGTCTCTGCTTCCCCCAGTAACTGGGACTACAGACATGTACTGCTGCATCAGTTGCTTTTTGTTTTCTTGTGACTGAGGTGAGATAGAATCTCAGTGTAGTTTTTATTTGCATTTCACTGATGGCTAAAGATGCTGAACATTATTATTTATGTATTTACTTGTCATTTGTATTTCCTTGATTGAAAAGTGTTCAGTTCATTTGCCCATTTATTGGTTAGATTGTACTTTTTTGGTGCTTAATTTTTTGAGTTTTCTATATATCCTGAATATTAATCTCTGGTCAGGGAATAGTTGGCAAAGATTTTCTCCAATTTTGTAGACTGTTTCTTCATTCTGGTAATTGTTTTCTTTGCTGTGCAAAAGGTTATTAATTTGATGCAATGCCATTTGTCAATTCTTATTATTGTTTTCTGAACTATTGCAGTCTTATTCAGAAAGTCATCATCAAAGCTTTTTCCCTATGTTTTCCTGAAGTAGTTTAAAGTTTTAGGTCTTACATTAAGGTATTCAATCCATTATGAATTGGTTTCTCCACAAGGTGAGAGGTAGGAATCTAGTTTCGATCTTCAATATGTGGATATCCACTGAACTTCAGAACACGTAATACCTACCAAAATTGAGTCAGAAAGGCATAATTGTCTTAAAATGTACATTCTCCATGTCCCTGAGTGATATTCCTTTCCCTTGTAAATAACACACTTCAGTTTATGTAATTCTCAATCACCTTCAGAGAGATTATACTGTGATTACTACTCTCACTTCACCTGAATATAAATGTAGAACTTTACTTTTTCATTGGAAATGTCTGCACCTCTGCAGGGAGGAAGGGGCCCAGGGGAACAGGATTCCCAAACTAATTCTTTGTCTGTCCAGCCACAGGAGAATGGCTGTTACACAAAGTGCATTTTCATAAAGGCACCAGGTGTCAAAGCCACAAGCATTAACAAGCATTAAGGCCAGTGATTTGCTGAGGAGCCCCACACCACCTGAATCCCACCAAAGGGTCAAAACTGCTGTTTGGAGAAAACTTTCTCTGTAAGTATTTTTGGGACTGTAGATGAGAAAACCAAGCATGAGTGACATTTCAAATTTGTCTTTCTGAAGTTATTATTTATTTCAAGTGATGCTATTACATGCTCTAGATGTTGGTATGTAAAAACCCCAAGAATCACTTATGTCAGAATTTGAGCACACTAAGGTGTGGCTAGTGTCAGCAAGCTCTGCTCCATCTCTGCCAAGGAGATTGGTGGGAAGGAGAATTCTTTCTTTGCTTAGTATAGGCATGATGTATGTGTCTATATTTGGGCCAACTACCATAAAGAAAAAGGAAAGATACCTCATCCTTTACCTTAATTTGGTTTGATCCTTCTAGGCAAGGTGGCTAAGAAGCATAGATATAGGCATACAAGTTAAGACTATGAAAATGAAATCTATGTAATTCCCAGTCAACAGAAGGATGAGAGCTTTCAAATGGGAAGGTCAAAGATTGGACAGCACTGTGCTTAAATAATTGGAGATAATGGGAGAAGTAGCCAATTTATCTGAGGCCGAGGAGAGTTCTGTCTAGACCTGCCTGAACTGAGATTGCAGCCTCAGATTGAGATTAATCTAGCCAGGGATTAGGTCACTTACCATGATCAGATATAATCAATTCTGTAACTCTCAGTCTTGAAGTTCTTTTTTGTCCTCTTTTTGTGGTACTGGGGTTTGAGTACTCAGGCTTACCGGGGTAAGTGCTCAGGCTTACTAGACCAATGCTTTACCACTTGAGCCACCCTTCTCAGCCCATTTTTTTTCTTTAGTTATTTTTCAGGTAGGATCTCACATTTTTGCTGGGGTGATCTTGGACTGTGATCCTCCTACCTATGCCTCCCACATAGCTTGGATTTTAGGGGTATGCCACCATACTCAGATTGTGGATTGAGATGGGGGTCTGAATAACATTTTGTCTAGGCTGGTTTTGAACCCACAATTCTCCCAATCTCTGCCTCTGGCATAGCTGGATTATAGGCAAGCACTACCATGCTAGATCATCCCTATTTCTTGAAATTTTGTCCTGGGAAAGCAACATCAGCATCACCTGGATATTTGTTAGAAAGTTCCCAGACCCACAGAACTGGGTTGTGTTTTAACAGGCTCTTGGGTAATTCCGATGCACACACATTTGAGAACCACTGGTCTAAGTGAAAGGAAAATCCTAATGAGAATTCTATAATACATATCAATAAATAAACATCTCCAAACCTTGATTGGGAGAATTTCTGCATCCCGTATCCTAGATGCTCCCAACAATGCACTCCAAAATGCAACTACAAGAGAAAAGTTTTCCCCTGCTTCAAAGGAGAATGCATGAAACCTGACAACTTTCTCACCAGCATGTTCCTGCATGATTAAGAACATTATCACAGAAAAATGGTGCTTTGGTCTGTGTAGCATTGGGACCTGGGGCATGTTTAGGGATTCCTTTAGTTATTTCTTATCTTAGGAACCTCATTTTCTAATTTTTCCAGAAAACTCAGTGGTTATTTTCAGTACTTACTTAACATACAAAAAAAAAAAAAAAGCTATTGCACAGGTGCCTTTGGTATTTATTTTTCTCACTATTAAGTTATTTTGTGTTTTTTTCTCACCATGAAGTGATTTTTTGCCCTTCTGCTTTGTTCAGACTTTTAGAACAAGTCTGTTAAGTGTTAAGCAACAGGGCCAGTGGTTTATAGTAGAGCAAAATAAAGAAATTATAGAGAGTAACTGTCAAGGGCATTATCGCACTTTCAATTATCATTCTTACATGTCTAAAGTGTACTTACCAAATGCCTATTATATCACCAGGTGCTTAGTGTATTTCTCTGTGCTATAATAAAACAAAAAATTCTGTTTGCAAACTTGAAAAACAAACAGGAAACATTGATGAGCATAGGTAAGTCTTATTAATTCTTTACAAGCAATATGCTTGGGGTATTTGAAGATCATATGGGAGCAATGGAAAGAAAAGACATTTGAGATGAAAAACAATATAAAAATTCCAAAAAGTGTACCTCTCAGTATAGATAAGAATGGGGCAAGTGGAAGTTAATTATTTGAGGCCAAAGAGTGGATTCTAAGAGAGGAGATGATACATGTGAAACCCAGTAGTGTTTTACACAAGCAAATCTTGTCTTATAGATATAGCTGCATGTAAGTTTGTGTTGGTGAACTATGGAATTTGTCTGGGATTGGAACATACCCATGTGGAGGGAGGTCTATGTCCATAAAGTGATGAGTACTAAGGAGATTGTTTTGTGGTACTGGGGTTGGAAATCAGGGCCTCATGCTTGCTAGGCAGGCGCTCTACCACTTGAGCCACTACTCCAGCCCAAGGACATTGTTTAACAGGTAATGATGTCCAATTTAAAATTTGGATGGACTGTTACTCAATAGCATGGTAGATAAACTTGGCAGCCTACAGTGGAGGCAGACAGATCAATTAGGAGGTTATTAATGAAACAGTCAAGTACCTGAATTCTTGCCTCTTTCCTTCCAGCAGACTCACCTGCCAATCATGGTGTTAGCTCCCAACAACACAGAGACCCAGGTGACTGAATTCATAATGATGTGCTTTCCAGGAATGCAGGACACACAACACTGGCTATTGATTGTCCTGGCTCCTCTCCTTGTTTTGGCTTTTGGGGCCAACTTTGTGTTATTATTCACCATCTGGCAGGAGGCATCTTTGCATGAACCCATGTACTACCTGCTTGCCATCCTTTCTGTGCTGGATGTCATCCTTTGCCTCACACTCATCCCTAAGGTCAGACCCTCCCTGGACTCTCCTCCAGGCACTTAGTCATATTTCTTTAAACAGTACTTTATTTTTCTTCTACAAATCCTCATATTCCTGAAGGAAAGTGCTCTGTGAGTCACCCATACCATCACAAAAGGTCCCTCACACCCTAATATGTTCCCTTCATTTTCTTAGGTGGTTTTTTTGAAGACAGGATTTCACTATGTATTCCAGGCTGGCCTTAAACTTATATGACTGGCCTGGAACTCATGATCCTCCTGCCTCAGTCTTCTGAGTAGTAGTATTATATCAGTGAACCACCACACCTGGACCCTCTTAATGCCCGTGTAATTCCAAGTTTCCATTGTTTCCCCGCTATTTTAATATCTTTATTAGTAATATTTCAAGTTCCAAATTTCTCCTTACTTCTAGGGAACTTCTCCATGAGTCTGAATTACCCCTCTGCTCCACCACAGAGCTCTATAATATACTTTCTAAAATGTATGTATGTTTATGTCAATATTGAGATAGGAAGTAGGAGTGGAAAAGTTTCTTATGTGTATGAAGGGGTTGGAGAGTATTATATAAGTATTAAACTTAATGTGTTTGATGTTCCTGTTGGGTAGATGTGCCCCCTGGAGCTTGGATAAAAACCATGGAGCTCACCAGAGAACAGAAATACAAACAAACATTTTCTAAACTAAAGGTTGGTGTCTAACTTTAGGAAAAGAGTATAAATTAGACTCTGGAGATTGAGATGGACATAGAAGATGGACAATGAAATGAGGATACCGTCCCAGGTAGCATTATGGGGCTGTGGATGGGGGATTGGAGCTTTTAGCCATCAGAGGGTTTTCCTAAGGTTAGATACTCTAGGATGATACTAGATATACAGGGTTTTTGAAGACAATGATTCTGGCAGGTGCTGGTCATCTTCTGGTTCAATATGAAGCCCATCAGCTTTGTGGGCTGCTTCCTGCAGATGTTCATCATGAATACCTTCCTTCCCATGGAATCCTCCACCTTTCTGGTCATGGCCTATGATCGCTATGTGGCCATCTGCCACCCACTGCGCTACCCATTCATCATCACAGAACAGTTTGTCATTAATGTAGCCATCTTCATTGTCTTCCACAATCTTCTAGCCACACTGCCCACTCCAGTCCTGGCTGCTAGACTCAACTACTGTGCCAGCAACATGACAGAGAATTGTATATGTGCCAATATTTCTGTAGCAAAGCTCTCCTGTGGGGATATTCACCTAAATAAGCTCTGTCAATTTGTGAGTGTTTGATGCCTATTAGGTTCTGACCTGGTTCTCATCCTTCTGTCTTACTGCTTCATCTTGAGGGCTGTTATACGTCAGCAGTCAGGGGGTACAGTCACCAAGGCTTTGAGTACCTGTGGTTCACATGTCATCCTGATACTTTTCTTCTATACAATCCTATTAGTCTTCATCTTCACAAACAAGGCAGGAAAGAAGATACCCTCAGAGGTACCTATCCTTCTCAATGTCCTGCATCATCTCATCCCACCAGCCCTCAACCCCATTGTTTATGGAGTACGAACCCAGGAGATCAAGCAGGGGATTATGAAACTAATCAAGCACCTTGGCTGAGAGGTGTGAGTCAAAGGAGGACTTTGTAGAAGGTGTTGTAGAAGTCTGGACATGTTTTATTGGTTTTTCATCTGAATGTCACAAGAAACACAATATGACATTCATGCTGCCACCTTCATCTTGAACTTAAACCTTCTGAACTACATCATAATGTTTATTCTTACTCCTACTCCACAAATGTGTGCTTAACTCAACTTTGAGAATCTATTATGGAATGATGGAGGGGCGAATCTAAGATATATTGTAAGTACATATGTAAATGTCAAAATGTATCCCCCCTGTACAGCTATTATATGCAAATAAAATAATAATAAAATATGTGATCACAATATGCAAAAAAAGTCTGTTGTGTTCTTTATTCTGACTTTGTCCAAACATGATCCTTCAATCACTCAATCATTAAATAAACAAGTATGTAACACCTTCCATGGAATTCTCAGTCTTTTCATCCTGAAACAGTTTCGTATTTAACTCACAGGATAGAGATATGAAGAAACACTTTCTTGTTTTTAATTGTTTATTCATTTATTCATATGTGTATATATTATTTGGGCCATCTCTCCCCCTGACCCCCATCCCCTCCCTCTCCCTTACCCTCCTCGCTTCCAGGCAGAACATGTTCTGCCCTTTTCTCCAATTTTGTTGAAGAGAAGACATAGCGATAATAAGAAAGATGTAGTGCTTTTGCTAGTTGAGATAAAGATAGCTATACAGAGAGATTCCTAGGATTGCTTCCATGCACATGTTTATTACAACTGAATTGGTTCATCTCTACCAGACCTCTTCACTACTTCCCAGTCACCTTCACATAGTTGTCTTTTTTGTCAGTTTAAGATTACTTTATTTGCTTCTCTACAGTGGGCACATCAAACACTTTCAAGTTTTAGGTTTCCTTCCTTTTCCCTATTCCTCCTGTACATGTTCTTCTCTTAGCATGTGACCCGTGTCCAATAATATTACTGCATTTATCCTAGATCTAAAGTCCACATATGAGGGAGAACATATGATTTTTGGCCTTCTAAGCCTGGCTAACTTTGCTTAAGATGATGTTATCTGGTTCCATCCATTTACTTGCAAATGACAAAATTTCACTCTTCTTTGTAGCTGAGTAAAATTCCATTGTATAAATACCAAATTTTCTTAATCCATTCATTGGTATTGTGGCATCTTGGTTCTTTCCAGAACTTGGATATTGTAAATAGTGCTGCAATAAACATGGGTGTGCAGGTGCCTTTGGAATAATCTGAATCACATTCCTTTGGGTATATCTCTAGGAGTGGTATTGCTGGATCATATGGCAGGTCTATGTTTATGTTTTTAAGAAGCCTCCATTTAGTTTTCCTAAGTGGTTGTACTAGCTTATATCCCCACCAGCAGTGTATGAGGGTTCCTTTTACCCTGCATCCTCACCAACATTTGTTGGTGGTGGTGTTCTTAATGCTAGCTATTCTAACAGGAGTAAGGTAGAATCTTAGTGTGGTTTTGATTTGCATTGAGGAAACACTTTCAACAGGACATAGTGTGGCATGAATAGAATAGGGGAAATTAATGGGAACTTTCCTTCAATAGTCCAGGTTAAAAGTGACAATAATGGCTTTGACTAAAGTAGCGAGGGAAAATTGAGGTCATAGAACATACGATTTGCAAAGAGTCCACATGTTGGGTGTAAAATACAGAAAAGATTAAAGGGTGACACCCAGGTTTTTTCAAGAGCAATGGGAATAGTGAAATTGCCATTAACTGAGGGACTAGTTTGGTATGGGATATCAGAAGGTCAGCTTGGATGCGAACTTCATTCCATACCAAACTTCTCCCCATGACTGTACATTTCAAATGACAATAACTATCCAAGTGGAGAAGGAAAAGTAAACCACTGGATATATGGTACTCCTCAGGGGTCAGACCCAAGTTCTCAGTTACTTAAATGATTTTTGACTCTCTCAAGACTTTTGGTCCCACCATGTGCTCTTTGGATCATACAGTCTTATTCTAAAACATAGTACTGTTAATTGATAAAATTTCACTTTAATGTTTTAACAAACATTAAAAATATGCTAATTTATAGTATTTCAGTATTTAAATTGTGTAAATTAGTAGATCAGTGGCGTTCCTACATTCAAAATGGAGGTTATAGGTTTAAAGGAAGATGTTATTAAATATCTAATCAATAGAAAAAAATATAGATACCTGTCAATGACAGGGCTGAGTGTGTACCCCCTACTCCATCACCTGCCCCCAATCAAATCCAGGAATCTCTGGTAAAGTTTGTTTGGATAGGTGATTTAGGTTTCCTTTGTCTATAGTTACCTACTCAAATTCAATCATCTTCTACATTTTGCTTGAAAACTGCTGTCAGTGGACTCCAGCACAGGACTAATAAGGATGAAATCATGTAACCAAGCAATATTAAAGGTGGATACTTTAATGCTGAGTGCCACTCTGATTAATATTCAGAAAGATGTAAAGCCCCTGAGTTACAGCATTCCTTCTCTAGTGCCATTATGACAATAGAGTTCTGGTCTTTCAGGCACAGCCTCTCTCTTTTATGTCTCTAGTTTATAAGACTTGCTTTGGTTCTGATGCATGTTCTCATTCTAATATTCTTCATTGACTTCCAGTCCTCTGCCAGGTTCAGGTCCTGATAGCCACCACAGATTCTCTATATTTGGGAAAGGAGGTCCTGATCCTATAGTCAAATCTCCCTAGAGTGTCACTGGCCTGGGCTTCTGCCTTTGCCCCCTGTAGGTACATCGCACCAGCTGCTGGGATGTCCACTATCCCTGGACTTCTGCATTTCTAGGCTTAGGTTCTATGTTTATTGGTCTATCTGATTGAAACGGACTTATCCCATGTGTTCAAGTGTTCAGCATCTGACATTAATAATCTCAGTTCAAAATGACCCAAACAATGTATGCACATATGAATATATAAATAAAGAGAAAAAAATCATTTCACAGAGAGTTTATCTTTAAAATTCACATGCAAACTGGTTTTTTTCTGCCTTGCTGGTCACACTAATACATTACACCAACTTTTTTATTTTCCTTTTAAAATTAGCATATGTTAATTGCTAATGAAATACTGGATTTCATTATGACATTTTCATATATGTGTATACGTACTTTGAACATATACCCTTCTCTTGTCTTCCCTTCCACTATTCCAATGGTCCCTTTCTTTCCCCAAATTACGAACCTTCTATTTTCATGTCTCTCTCTCTTTTAAAAAATTTAGATTCTGCACGCAAGAGAAAACATGCAGTATTTGTCTTTGTGTCTGGCTTATTTTGCTTACGTTATGATCTCCAGTTCTATCCATTTTCCTGCAAACAACATGGCCTTATTCTTATTTTCATTTTCTTATTAGTATATATTAATTGTACAAAATAATGGGTTTCATTATGGCATTTTCGTACATGTATATAATGTACTTTGATCACATGCTCCCCTCATTTCTCTGTACTTCCCCTCCTAACCCCACCTTCTGGTTCCCTTTCTCTTCTCAAATAGTTCCCCTTTTACTTTCATGTCTTAAAAAAATCTAGATTCTACATATGAGAGGAAAAAATTGTTATCTTCCTAAATTTGGCATATTTCACTTAACAAGATGATCTCTAGTTCTATCATTTTTTTGTAAATGTCATGATTTCATTTCACAATGTACATTGTATATATAGACCACATTTTCTTCATCCATTCACTCATTGGTGGGCACCTTGGTTGATTTCATAACTTCGCTAATATAAATAGTGCTGCAATAACATTGGTGTGCAGATATCTCTATTGTTTGAGTCCCTTGGATATATACCCATGTGTGGTTTAACTAGATTATATTGTAGTCCTTTTTTTTTTGGAGGAAACCTCTATACTAATTTCCATAGTGGATGCAGTTTACATTCTCACCAACAGTACAGGAGGGCTGCTTCTCATTCCCCATAATCCTTGCTAGAACTTGTTGTTTACTTGAAGATAACCACTTTGACTATTATGAATGGAATCTCAATTTAGTGTTTTTAAATTTATTTATTTAATTAATGAACTAATTTTAAACTTTTTGTGGTGCTGGGGATTGAAACAAGAGCCTTGTGGATGCTGGGCAAGGGTTCTATCACTGAGTTACATCTCTAGCTCTGTGTAGTTTTGATTCGTGTATCCATGACATCTAAAGATGTTGGATATCTTTTCATGTGTTTATTGACCATTTGTACTCCTTATTTTGTGAACTGTCTGTTCAGTTCATTTGCTCATTATTGATTGGATTATTTGTTATTTTGGTGTTTGAGTTCTATATATTCTTGATATTAATCCTTTATCTTATGAATAGGTGGCAAAGATTTTTCTTCTATGGGTTGTATAATTGTTTTCTTTGCTATGTAGAAGATTTTTAAATTTTATGTAATCCTATTTGTCAATTCTTGCTCTTATTTCCTGAATTATTGGTGTCCTGTTCAGATAGTCACTGTCTAATCATATATCTTGAAGTGTTTTCCCTATTAATGCAAGATGTTTCAGGTTTTACATTAAGTTAAGACCTTAATCCATTTTGAATTGATTTTTGTACAGGGTGAGAGATAGGCAATTTATTTCAGTTTTCTATTTGTAGTCCAGTTTTCTCAGCACTAGTTTTTTTTTTTAAAGACTCTGCCTTTCCTCCAACATGTGCTTTTTGCAACTTTTTCAAGGATCAGATGGCTACAGTTGTGTGAACTTATTTCTGGGTTCCTCTAGAATGACCTATGTGACTGTTTTTGTGCCATTACCATGCTATTTCATTACTATGGCTCTGTAGTATAATCTGAAATCAGTATGCCATCTTTCTTCTTGCAATACTTACTACTTTCTGAAATAATTTTTAATTTTGTTTTCTTATTTAACATGTTGGATTTCCCTTCATAAGGTACATATATGTATTTTGCTCATGGAACTTTTCCTTAACACCTAGAATGCCTGTACATAACAGGTGTTGAATGTGTACTAGATGAAAGAATAGTCCCAGAAGTAGGACTGCATGGATACTTCTGTGTCTTGTGGACAGTATGCAATCTTAATCAACATATTCCTATATTCCAGTGTCAGTTGGAAATCCCCTGAGCAATCTGTTGGATGCACCTACTAGTGATGGAGAAGTGCCATCAATTCTGAAATGCTACTATTGCTAACTAATGCTTCATTTAACATTATCTAGGTTGTTATTCTATGGTTCAAAGGACCAGATTTTCTACTTATATTTCTTATTCTATTTTAGGCTCTAGAGTATTTTATGTATCTTACATCTTCTGTAACATTTTTTAAAACACTGAAACTAGCTAGTTTTATACATGAATGTACAAAATTGTGAGAATCTATTTAATGCAAAATTAAACCTTAAAAAAACATAGGACGCAATTGCGTCTGTTTTGGTGAGTTCTTACCATGAACAACCATTGCTTACCCTAGTGCTAATATGCCTTGATATTCACTAATAAAATAATCAAAACAAAAGTTTCCTGGATTTAAATATAGTATTTACTTAGCTGTATGTTTAATTGAGATCTTCTGAAATAGTAATATTTTCAAGAGTTAGTTTTCTGTTAGCCATACTGGTCTATGAGTATATTGTGTGAACAAAATTTAGACCTATTTTAACCTGTAATTATTGCTTATTATTTAAAGAAATATAAATACATTTTCATTTTCAAGCAGATTAAATTAGAGTTCAGTAACAGTGAAACCACAGGAAAAAGTTCAAGATTGATTTAATTATTAGATAGAGGATAATAGAAATTGACAAAATACCAAAGATTATGCCTAAAATAATCCAGTCATTCATCAAATATTGGCTAAATGGTCTAGACTTGAGGAACTATCTGATTATGGACTTATAGGCATTTTTATTTTGGAATCAGAAGGCAAAAATGCCTAATTTGGGGTTTAATGGAATTTTTCATAAATGGAATTGATATTTCTCCCACCAGTACATGTCAATTTAAAAACAAGACAAAGACCCAAATAGCATTTCATAGGGAAATACTTTGTTTATTGAGGGCTATAGCTATTAGACCCAGATATAAATATCCATGAAGCCCTGCCATCAAGAAGGACCATAACTTGCTCTGGGCAGTTGGATGCAGGAGGACCTGTAAACAATTGGATATATAAGTCATCCTCTGAGGTGGTTGGAATTTGATCTGTGAATTAAATCAAATTGTAGTATTTTGATGTTGTCCCTGATACAATGTTCACATTTCCTATTTATTTTCACTTGTCATTGAAGAAATGTGGGAAGTGTCCATTCCTGTGCTTAAAGAGAAGTATGAGGGAGACTCAGTAGTGTGAGTGATGCCTGTCTTAAGACAGTCAGTAGTTCCATAGACTTTTGGAACTAGAAATGTGTTTTAAAATAATTGGTTTACTGCCTTCATGCAACAGATGAGGATCCTGAAACAGAGTAAAACTATTGATTTGTTCCTAGCCACATATCTTATTTGTGGTTGTGCACAACCTAGGATGCAAAACTTTTAATTCACCATCTCAGGCTTTCTCTCTTTTTAAAGTCACTTCTGAATTAATTTGCCTATCATTTTTCCAGGTCTTTCTATGTAGAAGAAAACATTCCTTCAATATTCCTAGGATCCAGATTGGTTTATAATTTCCCCAAATGTCATATGAGTTTCTCAATGATTTAAAATTTGTTCTATACACCTTGGTACCTTTAATTTCCAACAAAGTTTCTGTACCAAGGAAGTTGCTTAAAATATCTTTGCCAAATTAATAATAGACCTTAATAAATTTAAGTGCCATTGCTGGGATGTCTTATGATACTGTGATGTATAGTACACTGAAGCAGAACTCTGTACACAAATCAAACTGACTCATTGTGAATCCCACAGCTGAAACATCAAAATGTATCAGCCAAATGCCAGCAATTCTTGCAAGAGTTCTGTACTTTTGAGAGTTCTGGCTGACAACAACAAAGAGGCTTTGCTTGAAAAGGGGGGTGGTGGTAGAAAGATGTTATAGGTAAGCAAAAGAGACTTGCTTATGGGCTCTTGTCACTTTTTGTCATTCTGGCTGACATTTAAAATACTGTGATATTTTCACAACTGTATTGTGCAATTGGGTTAATAATATTTATAGTAAGTTACTATTAAGGTCACTTATATTGACAGGTATTTTAAACATAAATGTGTGGAGTTGATAAATTCAGTATTAACTGGGAGTTATTCTTCTACTATAGAATTTGTCCTTTTGAGTGCCCTCATTTTGGACAAAATGTAATCATAAATATTGGAAAAAATTAAAAAGTCACAAAGATGTCAAATTTTGGGGAGATATGTTGGGATTTGAAGATGAAGGATAGAGTCAAGAACTTATTTCAAAGCTATTGCTTACTTTTCTCCTTGATATTTTATTTCTGAGTTATGGATTTCAATGTAATCACCCATTAACTGATTAATAAGTCATTCTATATTAGGAATGCAGACACGCTGTTGTCCTTATTGCCACTCTTTCTTTAGTAATCTCTTGATTCCTTGCTTGATCTCCTGAGTTCTCACCCCATAAACAATGGGATTAAGGGCTGCAGGGATGACATGGTGAAGGACATTGAGCAGGACTGGCACATCAGGAGAGACCGTCCTCTTGGCCACATGTGTAAGGACAAAGACAAGAAGGATGGTGCTAAAGAAGAGGATAAGGATGAAGTGGGAGCCACAGGTGCTCAGAGCTTTAGCCACAGCACCCTCTGCCTTAAGTCTCAACACAGTTCGCAGTATGAGGGTGTAGGAGACGAAGATGAGAACAAGGTCAGATCCCAGCAGAGTCCAGCCTCCAGCAAACTGGTAAAGGCGATTGATAGTGACATCATCGCAAGAAAGCCTGGAGACAGACATATTGGCACAGATGCAATTCTCAATGACATTTCTCCCACAGTAATGGAGTTGTGCTGAGAAAATGGGGATGGGCAGAGATATAAAAATATTCCTGGCCAAAATAAACAAGGCAGCTTTGACTACAAATTGGTCAGTGATGATGGATTGGTATCTCAGTGGGTGGCAGATGGCTATATAGCGATCAAAGGCCATGACTGTGAATGTGCAGGACTCCATGGCTAGGAAGCAATTCATGATATACATTTGGAGGAAGCAAGCAGAGAAGCTGATGGGCCTGAGGTCAAACCATAAGATGGCTAGAACCTTGGGAATAACAGTGTAGTGAAGTCTGTTGTCTTTATCTTGATCCGGAATATGTTTCTCAGTTCACCCATCCCCATCCTCTCTGCCCAGCTTCACTACTGTGGAAAAATATAATTGAGAACTGTATCTGTGCCAACCTCTCTGTGTCCAAACTCTCCTGTGATAGTGTTGCCCTTAACAGAATCTTCCAGGTGACTATGGCCTGGACTCTTTTGGGCTCTGACCTCATCCTTATCTTCCTCTCCTATACTTTCATCCTCAGAGCAGTTCTTAGACTAAAGGCAAAAGGGGCAGTTGTCAAAGCTCTGAGCACTTGTGGTTCTCATTTTATCCTTATCCTCTTCTTTAGCACCATCCTGCTGGTTCTTGTCTTTACTCATGTGGCCAAGAACAAAGTTTCCCCTGATATCCCTATCTTACTTAATGTCCTGCATCATGTCATTCCTGCAGCTCTGAACCCCATTGTCTATGGAGTACGAACCCAGGAGATTAAACAAGGGATTCTGAAATTACTGAAAAAGTGTGGGTAACATCCAAAAGTAATTGTGTTCTTGCTTTGCTTTTCTGGATGAAGAATTTCCAAAATCTCAATTGGAAGGAAGAGATATTCAGTTATGTAATACCTGTTATCTAATATCAGTTATATATCACATAACTCATCATGTGACCTATATACCTTCCTTCTAATCCAAAGACACCTACTCCTTCCATTCCACGCTTTTCTAGAAGAGACTAAGGAAATCTATATATCATCTCCCACCACACTACCCAGATAAGGGGCTATGAATCTTTGATAAATCAAACATCAAGACCTAATTTGCTTCTGATTGAATTCTAAGTGGAGCCTGTGGAGATGGAAAAATAAATACTCAAAGAAGTGTGGGTGATGGGCACAATTCATAGCTTTGGAACAATAAAGGTAACATTAAAAATAACTTTTAAACACATAGACCACTGGAATATAATACAAGAAACAGACATAAACTCACACAATTAACAGCCATCTGACTTTCAACAATGGTGCTGAAAATAAGCATTGGAAAAAGTTTCTTCAAGTAGTGCTGTAAATATTGAATATTAATACATGGAAGACTAAAACTAGATCCCTATCTCTCATGCTGTACAATAGTCAACACTAAATGGGTTGAAGACCTTAGTGTAAAAACCTCAAATTGTGAAACTTTTATAGGAAAACACTTCAAGACATAAGCATACGCAGTGACTTTCTGAAGAGGACTAAAATATCTTATGAAATCATAGTGAGAATTGACAAATGGGGATTGCATCAAATTAAAAAAATTCTGCACATCAAAGGAGACAATTACCGGAATGAAGAGACAACTTACATAACAGAAAAAAATCTTTTCCAGCTATTTATCTGCCAAGATATTAATATCCAGAATATATAAAGAACTCAAACAATTAAACACTGAAGGAAGAAATAATCCAATCAATAAATAGGCAAATAAATTGAACAGTCAGCTCTTAAAAGAGGTACAAATAGCCAACGTACTTACTTAGCCATAAAGAAATGTAAATCAAAATAATTTTGACAGTCCATCTCACCCCAGTAAGAATGGTTATCATTTAGGAAACTAACAATAGCAAATGCTGGCAATAATGCCCAGAAAAATGACCCCCTTAACACATTCACAATAGCCAAGTTATGGAAACAGCCAAGATGCCCCACCACTGACGAATGGATTAAGAAAATGTGGTATCTATACACAATGGAATTTTATGCAGCCACGAAGAAGAACGAAATGTTATCATTCACTGGGAAATGGATGGAATTGGAGAACATCATTCTGAGTGAGGTTAGCCTGGCCCAAAAGACCAAAAATCATATGTTCTCCCTCATATGTGGACATTAGATCAAGGGCAAACACAACAAGGGGATTGGACTTTGAGCACATGATAAAAGCGAGAGCACACAAGGGAGTGGTGAGGATAGGTAAGACACCTAAAAAACTAGCTAACATTTGTTGCCCTTAACGCAGAGAAACTAAAGCAGATACCTTAAAAGCAACTGAGGCCAATAGGAAAAGGGGACCAGGAACTAGAGAAAAGATTGATCAAAAAGAATTAACCTAGAAGAAGGTAACACACACGCACAGGAAATCAATGTGAGTCAATGCCCTGTATAGCTATCCTTATCTCAACAAGCAAAAACCCTTCTTCCTTCCTATTACTGCTTATACTCTCTCTACAACAAAATTAGAAATAAGGGCAAAATACTTTCTGCTGGGTATTGAGGGGGTAGGGGGGAGAGGGAGGGGGCGGAGTGGGTAGTAAGGGAGGGGGTGGGGGTAGAGGGGAGAAATGACCCAAGCCTTGTATGCATATATGAATAACAAAAGAAAAAAAAATCTTGGTAAGAATGTAAATTACTGCAGCGAGTATGGAATTTAGTATGTAAGTCCTGAAAACACTAACAGTAGAATAACTATATGATCCTGCTACGTCTCTACTGTGCTTACACTCAAAGGAATGTAAGTCAACCTACAATAGAGATACCTGCTCACCTGAGTTTACTACAGCACTACTTACGATAACCAAGTTACAGAATCAGGCTAGGTGCCCACCAACAGATGAACAGATAAAGAAAATGTGGTATATAAACACAATGAAGTTTTACTGAACTTTAAATAATTAAATTGTCATTTTTAGAAAAATAAGTAACACTGGAGATCATTATGTTAAACAAAGTAAGCCAAGCTCAAAAAGCCAGCTTGGTCTACATATGGAGAGCCTGCCTTTATAAGCAAACAACAAAAAGTACAAAAAAGCTATAACTAAAACCTGGATCATCATGGACCAGAGTAGCCAATATAAAACTTCTATGTTTATTTATGGAATAGCAAGTATAATTCTTTGTGGCTTCTCTAACCCAGTTAATGTATACACTATAGTTACAGTTTTTAAGTTCAAAACATTGATGGTAACCTTACCTCCCTCATAACCTATACCTGAACTATCAACAAATCCTGTAAGTTTCAGAATCCCATTATTTTTCACAATTAGTAATACACAAACCCAAGTCACCTCATCTCTATTCTAGATTATGGTACTCACCTCTTGAAGGTGGGGTGATTGTCTCCTTTCTTCTGTTCCTGGTTCCCTAAGTTTAGCCCAAACATAGAAGCCAAAGTGACCACTTAAAATAGGTAGAGCCAATTTTATCACTGCTATACACAACAGCTCTGAAGAGCTTCACAACTCATTCAAATGCAAAGCAAATTGTTACAAGAGTGTACCAGGTCATACATCTGCCTATCCACCCTCTTCTTTACTCAAATCTATCTAAACATCTTCTTAGCAATTTGACAAAAACACCAACCACATCCCTTTTTCTAAGACTTTTTGTTTATTTCCTCTGCCCACATATTTCTCTCTTTCAGATTCATTGGGTTTCTCTAACCATAATATTTTACATAGTATCCAACAATATTTCCCCCAAACACAATTTACTAGGGGCTTCCTGTTCTCTGATCTACATAGCATTTATTAAAGTCTAATGACCATAAATTTTACTCATTCATTAGTTCAGTTATACAACTTTCACAAAACATAAGCAACATAAGAGCAGAAATTCTTAACTATAACATTCACTGCTATACTTTCAACACCCAGAACAGACCTTGGCATTTGGTAGAGTCCAATCAATATTTGCTAATTAAATGCCTGAATGAATATTTAATAAATGATGAATGTATGTTTGTCACTAATTCTGTTGTGGTTCTATCCTCTGAGTTTTGAGATTAGGAGATTGGAGAAGGAGCATATTTAAAACATGGTTCCAAACTGATGGAATGGCTCAAGTGGCACTTGCCTAACAAACATGAGACCCTGAGTTCAAACTCCACTACCTCCAAAAGAAAAGAAGAAGAAACATGTTCCCGTGGTCTGAGAAACAGCATGGAGCTTCACTGCAAAAGCAGGTGGGGGTTGGGAGTGAGATCCAGAAGTACTTCTTTGAGACACTTTGACTTTGGAAACTCATGAGACATACAAGTGAGGTCTATGGTAGACACTTGGACTTACATTTTCTTCCCCCAGAAGAAAGTGTAGCAATGCTGCTGCTGTTGGCAGCACTGTGAAACTCTGAAACATGTTTAGTTGAAATTATGTAGATCTTCTTGCATCTGCAGTTCCCCAAAAGCATTATTCAACACCAGCTGCAACATTACCCGTGACACTGCATTATCGACGGTGGTGCCCAGTAATGGTGGCATCTTGGACTCTCTCAAAAGATGCTTTTCTTCTTTATGATGACAAGCCCAAAACATAAGACTTGATATCATCTATGCATAAGTCCTGAATATTTTTATGCAGAAAAACAATAATGAATCTTCTGGCCATGTGAAATTTTCTCTTCACTTTCACACATATTCTCTTGAACTGTCTAGTTTATAATCTCTGCCTTCCTACCGCAAAATCTTTCAATGTTGACCGTGGTGTCTCTAGTGACTGATGGAAACACCATGCCCAAAGGCACCTTCCATAACACTACCTGCAAAACAGATGTCTAAAACAAGGATGTTTATATTTGTTCTTGAATACAAGAATTGCCCTGGCTATAAACCTGTTGCAATGTATAATATTAAGATGAACTCAGCCTTGCCTGGGATACATGGTAAGACCCTGTTTCAAAACAACAACAGCAAAAAATGAACCTAGTAATATGAAACGGGCAATTTTTAAAGCTAGAATTTGATTACAAAACAGCATGTTTTTCATATACAGGATTATATATGTCTGCTAATTCTATTCAAAACATATAAAATGACACATGAACTGGATGCCTGTGACTCGTGCCTGTAATCCTAGCTACTTGGGAGGCAGGGATCTGGAGGAATGAGATTTGAGGTCAGTCTGAGCAAATAGTTCACAAGATCCCACCTCTAAAACAACCAGAGAAAAATGGACTACAGTTGTGGTTCAAGTAATGAGAGTCCACATTGTAAGCATAAAACACAAGTTCAATCCTCATTTCCACCAAGAGAAGAGATTAATGAAATTCATGAATTAATATACGTTTACTTAGAAAAAATATTTACCTTCATTTCAACAGTCATTAATTATGTCTTTGAAATTAAGATTTTTATGTAATGAACATTGCATTCACAGCAATGCCAGCACAAAATTAAATTAAATTAAACTTAAAATTAAAGATACTCTTGAAATTAAACTTTCTCAAGCCACTGTAGTACTAGATGTATTTCTTAATGTAACTTTAGAGAAACTTAGGACAGGAATGTGGCACATACCAGTAATTCAAGCTGTATGAGAGGTGGAGGTTTGAAGATTACCATCAAAGGTCAGCCCAGACAAAAACCACAGGACCCTACCTGTGAAATAAACAAAAGCAAAAACGCTAAGGGTGTGGATCAAGTAGAGCACTTGCCTACCAAGTAGCCCACCAGTAGGCTACTTCCCCATTTCATCCTTATGCCCTGTCCCATTCTCTCTTTTGCCTTTCTGATGCACTGTCCTAATCTTGCCCTGTGTCCTATTCATCAGCTTCTTC